CAAAATTAGAAGAGTGATATTTTATATAAAGCTGGTTGAAATCAAAAGATTTGTTGTTTACATGTCTTAATCCCTTCATATTAAGAATCAATGCCGAAATACTTTCGGGAATACTGAAACAATTTTACCCTATATATATTAGAACTTCTATTTCATTGTCTGATTTTGAAAGTTAGAAACACACTTATTTTCAAAATCATTCCGAACCCCTTAATACTAAAATTTCAACTGGGCGGCCCGTCTTCCACATCTGCACTTTCTAGCCGATCATAAACCTTAAAAAATGTTAGATTTTCATCCAAATGTATGGTGATTTCTAGAATTTAAACATTACTTTTAAAATTCTCATTTTGGATCTTCAAATTTTGAAATGATAAGAAATCATATGAGGAAAAGAACATTACGATAGAAATTCGTTCATATTGATCAACATTAATAAGTAATAATATTTGACACAGAATTACAGTTCTGTTTCACCAAATTCTCATGATCGATGATTCGTTCGATTTGAATACGTATCGGGTATGGAGGAAAAAATTCCACATGTAACACACAAGTAAACTAGCCTTAATAAGGAAATCTCGTCCGATATAGCTAAATCAATCTTAATTTTTGTAAATGTGATTTTCTTGTATTTTAATTATTTTAATTCAGTTATTTTTTTTATTTAAAAATATTTATATAGATAATGCTTTTGGCCTTTTGACTTTTCGACTTTTACTTCCATTATTAAAAGATTTTTTGATTCTATTTTAGCTTAAAACACAATGATGCAACTTGAAGAAACTGAATTGGTTAATGTGGATACTAAATCAAATTCAAGTAATTACGTTTTATCTATTTATTCTAACTTAATAAGCTTACTATAACCAAGAATCACTCATTAATGAATTTGTTTATTTCAGCTATTCCATTTATTCATGTCAATGAGTATAATGAAACTATAGATCCATCCAAATACAAAAATGATGCATATGAACATATAAATAAATTAGTTCGTAATTTCATCAACTCTTATAATTTGAATTATGGGTTGATTCTTTGCATGAAAGGATTAAGACATGTAAACAACAAATCTTTTGATTTCAACCAGCTT